CAGATTGCGGAATTTTTAATTCTGTTGAAAAGTGAGCCTTAAATTTGAAATTGATATATGTAGGTTCTGGTCATATCCGATCAAGTCGTTTATGAAATTCACATTTCGGTATTGTTGAGATTTACATTTTTATAAATAATTCCGAAATTTTAGAATTTTATACATTTTTTATGAAATATTCAGCCTTGAAATTGAAATTGTAGGAGTTTTTTATTGGAATATGAATTTGAATTTCATCAATATTCGTAATCATTTAGAATTGATTGATCACTTCCTATATATAAAGCTTTCAAGCCATCCATGAAGATCATATTTTTATCTAATTCGAAATTTTCGAGTCTCTTATTTTTTGGGAATATTGAAACTTAAAACTTTTATAGAGCATCAAATTTCGAAATTTTACAAGTTATCTTTTTATGGAATATTGAGACTTGAAATTCCTCACGTCACGTTCCGTTCCGAGTCAAATCTGAATTTTGTCGTTTTCAGCAGAAATTAAACACGTTGAGTTCTCACTCCTCATAAAATTCACACGTTTTTATTTTTGTACATTGCATAATTTCAAACTTTGTGGAATTTTTCGTTTTTAAGAATATTGAAACTAAATATTGTTCAAGTTCCTAGCCAAATATGAATTTTGTACGAATTTTAACATCCGTTGTTACACATTTTAGATCAGCCTCGTTTTGCTCAGAAGTCCATTAATAAATCTATTAATTAATTATTAATTTGTACTTTACCCAATTTCGAACTTGTAGGGGTTTTCCTTAAAAAAAATATTTTTCGAAATTGCAGAATTTTGAATTTTTTTCGGGAATATTGAAACTTGAAATTTCTAATCGAATGTGAATTTCGTATAAATATTCACTACTAATTTCCACATTCAGATCCTGGTTTATTATTCGTAGTAAAAGTAAAACTCAATCCGTCCATTAAATTCATATTTTGACACTTTATCCAATTTTGAAATTATATAACTTTTTCATTTTTGGGGAACATTGAAATTGTTTAGGTTCCTAGCCAAATCTGAATTTTGTTAAGTATTAACTAAAATTTAAACACATTCAGATTTGTGTTCCTCCTGTGAGAATACATATTTAATATTCCCAGGTTTTTATTTTTCCAAATTGTCCAATTTCAAATTTGTAGAATTATTAATTTTTTAGGGAATATTGAAATTGTTAAAGTTTCTTCACTTTTTCATCTTATCAAATTTCAAAATTGTATAATTTTTCATTTTTATGGAATATTGCGACTTTGTGACTTGAAAAAGTTCCTAACGGAAGGTCAATTTGGGAAAATTTTCACTTCATTGCTACACAATTTAGATTGGTACATTTTATTCAGAAGTCGATAAAAAAATCCACCTGTGTTATCCAATTTCGATATTATAGAGTTTTCATAAAATAAATATTTTTCGAAATTGCAGAATTTTTAATTTTTTTGAGAATACTCCATAAAATACATAATTTTCACCTGATATTAAACACAGTAAGATCACCAATTTGTTGTTCTTTCGGATGAGATTACAATCCTCCCATAAAATCCACACGTTTTTATTTTTCCACGTTATCTAATTTCAAAATTTTAGAATTTTTAATTTTAGGGAATATTGAAACTTAAAATTGTGCAAGTTCTTAACCCAATGCGGATTTTTTTTAGCAAATTTCACTAAAAATTAAACACATTTAGATGTAATTTTTGACGAAAACGATGAAATTGCAATAAAAAAATAAATAACAAATTGACACGTTTTTCTTTTGCATGTAGCCTACTCAAGTCTACTATTGGTTCTGCTGAGAGAGTTGGAATCCATCGCCGATTTACATTAGCCGAATGAGCCGAATCGCATAAGGTTATCTAATTATTTAATACGAATTATTGAATACGAATTTTAAAAAAATTCGTATTAAATAATTAGATAACCTTATGCGATTCGGCTCATTCGGCTAATGTAAATCGGCGATGGATTCCAACTCTCTCAGCAGAACCAATAGTAGTTTCGAAATTTTGGAGCTTTTCATTTTTAGGGAATATTGAGCTTGAAATTGATACTGATAGAGTTTCTACTCGAATATCAATTTGGTGTAAATATTCGTTACGAATTTCTAAGTTTAGATTGCATCAGATAAAGATCTTGGTTCATGAAAACCCGTGAAAGTTGTATTTTAAAACGTGATCCAATTTCGAAATTACATAGTGTTTCTTATGTTTTTGGGGAATATTGAAATTTGTTCAAGTTTCTAATCAAATATAAATTTTGCGTAAATTTTTACTTCAAATTCAGCACATTAGATATCTCAATGGGTGTAATTGTGGGAATATAATTCGCTAATAAAATTGACAAGTTTTTAATTTTACACATTCTAATTCCGAAATTGTAGAATTTTTAGGGAATATTGAGACTTGAAATTATCCAACTTTCTAGACCAATGTTTATTATGTGTTAATTTTCACTCCAAATTAAACATATTTATTCCTTAGATCTGCATCTCCTCGTCGAATAGATTACAAATAGACACGTTTTTAATTTCCAAATTTCGAAATTGTGGAACTTTTCATTTTTAGGAAAATTATGCAAGACGTGAAATGTAAATTTTTTGTAATTCTAACTACTATTTTACACATTGTGATCTTCATCTTTCTTCGTGGTTAAACCCAAATAAAGTTATATTTCCAATTTCGAAATTTTATTTTATGGTTTTATGTGGGAATATTGAGACTTTAAAGTGTTCAAGTCCCTCAGCCTTTTATGTAAATTTGTACTTTTATTAAACGCATGAAGATTGTAAAATTTTCTCTTACAAATTTTTGCACTTTTTATATTCTTTATACTACCATCTTTTCTTTTTTTAGTATTCTTTTTTCTTATTATCATATTTTTATACTTTACCAAATTTTGAAACTGAGGAAGTTCTAATAATTTTTTGGAAATATTGAGACTTATCAAGTTCCTAATTCAAATATGAGTTTTGTGTACATTTTAAATCACTTTAAATTAAACATGTTTAAATACGTATCTACCTGTCTCGCTCTTGAGATTACAATCTGACTACAAAATTCACACATTTTTATTTTTCCTCCTGGTCCAACCTCAAAATTTTAGAATTTTTAATTTTTTTACGGAATATTGGGAAAACTGGAAATTTTTCAAGTTTATAGTCGATTAGGAATTTTGTGGAAGTTTTGACATGAAATTAAACAGAGTTAGATCAGTTAGATATAAAAAAGGATATAAGAGGACGAGATTACAACGCGTAGAATTCACACGTTTTTATTAATTAGCATTAATCTCACTATCCAATTTCGAAATTGTAAAATTTTTAATTTTTAGGGAATATTGAGATTTGAAAGTGCTCAGTTTCAACATGAATTTTGTATAAATTTCCATTTCAAATTAAGAACATTTAGAGTTTAGACACGTATTAACTGCATTTAGGGTTGAGGTCCATTAAATTCACATTTTTATTAATTTAAACGTTATCTAATTTTGAAATTGTAGAATTTTTTAATGTTTAGGGAATGCTGAGACTTGACATTGTTCAAATGTTTACTTTTGAACGTCATCTAATTTCGAAATTGTAAAACTATTCATTTTTAGGAAAATTGTGTTTGAAATTGAAATTTTTAAGTTTCTAACAAAATGTGAATTTTGTAAAGTTTCTTTCAACATGAAATTTATATTTCAATTCTATCCAGTTTCGAAATTGTAAGTTTTTTCGAATCTTGATACTTAAAAGTGTTCAAGTTCCTAGCCGAATATGAATTTTGTGTAAATGTGCACTTTCAATTAATTAATTAGATGGTACCTCTAGCTGCAAAGGTTCAATCAATCCATCCTGAAAATTTACGATTTTACTTTTGCATGTAATATAATTTCCAAATTGTAGATTTTTTCATTTTAGAGAATATTGAGACTGTTCAAGTTCCTTTTCTTGTAGGAATTTCGTGCAAATTTTCACTACCAATTTGTACAATTAGTGCATTATTGTGATGAAGTTATCACGTCCATAAAATTCATATTTTTAAACGTTGTCCAACTTCGAAATTGTTGAGCTTTTCATAAAGAAAAATATTTTTTGAAATTGCAGAATTTCTTTTCTGGGAATATTGAGACTTTAAATGAAATTTTTGCCGCTTCTAATCACCCGTAAATTTCGTACACATATTCACTACGGATTTGCACAATCAGATCTTCATCAAGCTAACTCGTCTATGATCATAGTCTTTATCTAATTTCGAAATAGAATTTTTCTACTGTTTTAGGAAATACGAGAAGTTAAGCCCGCAAATTGCGGACGAAGCATACACTTTGAATAATTGTTGATAATATGTGAAGTGCATATACCTACTGATCTGCGGGGCTTTTCTTTTACACCCCGCCTGCAATGCTTGCAGCTACGTCATAGTCCTATGCAGACATGACATGTTGTGTTTTCATCCGAACGTTTTTGGGTCTTAAAATCGATCCAAAATTATTTGCATATATTATCATGAATTTTACTGTGCAAATTCTTGGTAATTGTAAAAAACTGCGTTCTACCGTGATGGATGCTGCATAATGATCTGTCTGCTGTCCTGGGTGTAAAAGAAAAGCCCCGCAGATCAGTAGGTAGGAAGGATGTATATATGTACGCGGCATACCCACTTAAGGAAGTCAAAAACACTAAAATAACCTGCTTTAACCCGTTAAAACCATCATCGAAAATTCAAGTTTTTTTAATTTAAAAATTTCCTGCAGAATATATATTTTGGTCCGGGATAGTTGCACAATGGTGGAAAAACCTTTTAAATTGCAACAAACTTGGGTTTTTGGCAAAGTTTTGAAGATTTTCGTGGTTTTCACCGGTGAAGAAGCGCAGTCTCATATTTCACCACAGATATTGATGCAAATGATGGTTGCATTTGGATTTGTCCAGCATCGACGCCACCTAAGCATATTTAGCCGAACTACTGACTACGAATTTCAACTACCACATGTTTTTCTCTCCCCTCTCACAGTTTGCTCATCTTGTGACGCTTCCTAACGTATTTTAAAAATAAATTTATTTCTGAGTTTGTTAATTTTCAACGTCACGTGGACCACCCCCATCCTGTTGCATCGAATTCTAAGGTAAAGGTCTTTGTGTTACTTGCAAATTAATATTAGCTAATGATGATATTTTTTTATTTTAAGAATGAATTTAGGCGAAAAAATCTTGCCAGATTTGCCTTGCATCTCCCAATTTTACACGGACGTCACGACAGATACTGTTCATGGTGTGGTGAAGTAATTGCTGGCCAAAACGCCGAGAGAACAATTGGAAAAACAGGTATTTTTGAACGAATAAATTTACTAATAATACTAATACAGCATAATACTAATAATATTATCGCTAACATTTCCTGTTCTTATGTTCAGGGACCTGTCCAAACACTGCATGCGGCCATCTCGTGCCACTAAGGGCAGGATTTAATCCTGAATCAGAATGGGGTAGATGTCCGTGTTGGGACGTTTTTGTTCATAGTTAGTGGCAATAATTTTATCAGGCAATTTGATACAGCAAACATAATTCTTTCATTTCGAATTTTAGAAGCCCACTTTTTTTGTTGTCTCTGCCAGTGGAGAAATGAAGAAGCGTTTGAGGAAATTCGAAGAGCTACGGAGAGAGAATTGAAAGGGAAGCTGGAAAAAGAAACGGAGGAGGTCAAAAGACTTAGAGGATGTTGAGGGAAATTCAGGGTCATCAGGTGAGCTTTGATTTAAAAATATATTGAAAGTCAAAATAATTTGAGGAATAAATTTATTTGAAATTGCTAGGTAGCATCTCAATCTAGTAATCAAGCTCCTTCAGGTGTAGAGCAGCCAGTCGGCAATGCTGCCGTTGGATTTGGGGATAATATTGAAGCCCAGAGCGGTCAAGGTCAAGGACATCAGGCTGAGTAACAGACGACTCGGGAAGCTAAAAGTCAAGCTCATGATGACGTGGTTGACGCAGATTGACCCATTTTTGTTAATAAATGCATAACATTAGGCTACTCTTATTTTAATGAAATAAATTTATTTATGAAATGACATTACAAAAATTAATCAACTTGGAGCTCTTTGTTTGCGTTATTAAAAAACTATTAATTTATTTTTGGCTCTAAAATAGTGGAAGTTGGCTGAACAGTGCAGACCAACTGAAGGCAAATACTGCTCAAATTCCGCACCATCATCAATCTCACATGACCCCCAATTGGGTAAATTTGAGTTTCATACGAGCCATAGAAATCTCTTTGTGGGAGTCAAAAACGCAGATACACACACACACACATCAAGTGGGTACTCTTGGTATGATTTGGAGTTGAAATTAAATACTCAAGTCAACCTTGTTATGTTACTAATACATTATTCGAATTCAAAATTGTAGAGTTTTTCATTTGTTGGGGAAATATCTAAGTGCCAAGCCAAATGTGAATTTTGTGGAAACTTCCACTTAAAATTCAACACATTTAGAAGGGCGAATTACATTTCTGAGTAATAAATTGTAACCTTTTCAAGTTTCTAGTCCAATAGCAATTTTGTGTAAATTTTCACCTCAAAGTAAACACATCTACGTTTTTAATTTTTTCATTATTCAATTTAGAATTTGTCATAAAAAAGTTATGAAATTGCGGAATTTTTAATTTTTTCATTATTCAATTTAGAATTTGTCATAAAAAAGTTATGAAATTGCGGAATTTTTAATTTTTTAAAAAGAAATATTGAGCGTTGAAATTAAAATTTTCGAGAGTTTCTACTTGAATGTCAATTTCGTGTGAATTTAGTCAATTATATTACTCATTCTTTATTTTTGTAATTCCAACCCAAAGTTCCAACCAAAGTTTACACAATTTCCTTGTTCTTCACTCAAAATCGTTCAAGTTGCTAGCCAAATGAGGAATTTGCGTAAATCTTCATTTCATAAACAGATTTCCAGATTTTCGCTGCAAATCCTGGAAGACTACAATTCGCCTATAAACTTCACTCCTTTCAATTATTCCGAAACTAGAATTTTTGGGAAACTAAACGCATTCCGGTCCTTTGCTCGTTCACTATACCTGTTGACTTTCATTCATTCATTTGACTGATTATGATAGAGAATGATGGTGCATGAAAATGAATTTCCTGTGATTTGAATGAAAATGAGTGAAAGATTCCGTCATTTCAGATGAATGACTATGAATGAAAGGATTTCTCACTCATTTCATTTTTCACCCTATGCTTATTACATGGGGCGAAGTAAGAAATGAAGTCGGATGAAGAATTGAAATGAATTTGGAAGAAAATGACTGAATGTGGATGAAAATTTTTAGTCAGAAATGGGGATGACTGACTTTTGAATGAATACTAAATTTGAACTAAATTGAACAAGTATGTATGATTCAGTACTGAGAATTATAGTACAACAATTACAATTCTCCCATAAAATTCACACTTATTCTACTTTTGCACGTTATCCAATTTCGAAGGTGCAGGATTTTTCTCGTTTCAGGAATTTTGAGACTTCCAGTACACTCTTAGCAACTTGGTAAAGAATTCCTAATAAGCGTCTTTACCGAGCTCTTGGTAATGACGCGTCCTACAAAAATTATACCGGATTATTACCGTATCAATACCAACCGGGTAACTGGCCTTCCACCACAATATTTTAAGTTATCTTTATAATTTTGGTAATAAATTCCTACGAGCTGGTAATTATATCCTTCAAATTTAGATAACATTCTTTACCATAATTTTAATCAAGTGCACTACAAGTTGTGGTGCTGACGAGATCTACATTTTGGTGTGGTTTATTACCATAGTGGTAAGAATTTTAATACATTTGGTATGGATTGTGAGACGCTACACAGTGGCGCATTTTTCAGTTTTAGTTTCTGCTCAGCTCAACTCAAGTCAAAATGGCGAAATTAATCCTATTCTGCCCGTGGAAGAAAGTGATAAAAACTTCTGGAAATTATATAGAATTTTTGGAAACAGGTAAGTATCAAATTATCATATGTAGGTGCCTTGAAGATGGTGATCGAGCACGACCACCATCTTAATAGGAACGAGTAAATAATAATGTTATGTTTATTTTTTTCAGTGAAGCAAAAATTTGAGTTGGAAATCAGAACAGAGATTTTTCTGCAAGACGTCAACCGGTGTGGGCTCATCCAAAATCGACTGGAGATTCATCGGAATTTGAAGGGGGGACAGACGAGTGTCAAAAACCATAGTTTGCATTATACTTAAATTTTATACTTATGTAAGTATGTTTTAAAATGGTTTTACAATAAATATAATTGATTGAAAGATTATTGTAAAGAAAATAAATAAATGTATTATTTTCGGTGGAAATCTGCACAAAATTTGGTAATAATGGGGTATACATATAAAAAGCATTAATACCGGTATGAGTAGCACGCCGTGTACAAAGTGGTATGGTTTATTACCAGGCGGTAGACATTTTACTACATATTGTAGTACATCTGTCATACATCACGGTATTGATTTTATCCCTAAAGGTGTTCTTTATTACCACTTCGGGTTCAATCAATTTCTTTACCAGCCGGTGGTTATTATTACCGTTTTTGCAGAGTCATATACGTGTGCATTTTGGTAATGATTTGGTAATGATTTTATTTAGAGTGTACATAATTTCCAAATTTCCGAATTTATAATTGAGATTGGAAATTGGGTGACTTCCTAGCCAAATACGAAGTTTGTGTAAATTTTGACTTTATAGTAAACGTTGAGATGCGATTAAATTTCCACATCCATCCTAAGAATTTACGTTTTTACTGTTATCTAATTCGAAATTGTAGAATTTTAAACTTTTCAGGGAATATTGAGCATTGAAAATGTTCAAGCTCCTAGTCAAATCTGAATTGTGTGGAAATTTTCACATTAAATTACACACATTTGATCACAATTCGCCCAGAAAATTTACGCTTTTTTACTTTGCACCTTATCGAAATTCAAAAGTACATAATTTTGAATTTCTAGGGAATATTGAGACTTAAAATTGTTCAAGATCCTAGCCAAATGTAAATTTGGTGTAAATTTTAACTATATTTTACAGATTTGGATGATACCACCGTGCTTTCTCTCCATGAAATTCTAATGTTTTTATTCTTACACCATACCGAATCTCAAAATTATGTATTTTTTTTATTTTTTCGGGAATATTGAAATTGCTGGAGTTTGTCCTCAAATGCAAATTTCCTGTAAATATTCACTATGGATTTCCACATTCATATCTTCATCATGCTTATTCTAACGCAAGTCCGATTTCGAAATTGTAGAGGTTTTCATCCTTTTCTTTTGGGAACATTGATTAAGCCTTGAAATTGTTCAGTTATTCAACTAAAAACGTGAATTTTGTGGAAATTTTCACTTAAAATTCAAGACATTTAGATGGCTAGTTGAGATTACAATCTGCCCATAAAATTCATAGGGTTTACTTTTGCACGGCATCTAGTTTCGAAATTTCAGAATTTCTCCCCTTCGGATGCAAATATCCTTTCCAAACGTGTCCATTGGGAATTTCGTCCAATTAAATACATTTAGATCCATCGTTTCAATAGGTTTATGTATAATCTGCCAAAAGACTTGATGGAGGGTTGTAATTTTTATACATTGTTTAATTTTTGAAATTGCGGAATTTTTCATTTTTAGGGAATATTGAGACTCGTAAAATTTCAACTTTGAAGCCGATTGTGAATTTTAGACAAGTTTCATTTTAAATTACATGATTTAGATAACCTCTTTGCCCGCTTCTAGAGACTACTATTGCACCTTATTTCATTTCGAAATTATGGAAATTTTCATTTTTATGAAATATTGAGACTTGAAATTGAAATTGGCAGAGTTTCTACTCGAATGTAAATTTAGTGCAAATATTCACTGCGAATTTCCACAATTAGATCTTTCTTTTTCTTAGGTGAGGCTATGGTTACTGAAAAAATACCTAAGTAAGCATTCACTCGGGTTCTGAAAAGTGACCACAGCCCATACTTTATCATTTCTCAACCGATTTCGATCAAATAAAAACCCAGAGTCAATTATGATCATGAAGAATCTAATTCTCAGCTGCCATACATGAACTCTTCTTATTTTGTATTTAATCGTTCAAAAACCACTTCCATGACAACATTTTGCCTTATTATACAGAAGTGAAACATTTAACAGAAAATGTGCGTGGATGGAAATGTGACAAATATAGCTATCTTTCATTTAAAATTATAATCATCAAAATCGGTTGAGAAATGAAAAAGTTTTCCCTTTGACGAAAAATTAGCATTTGGGTTCAGGGCCGGCGCTGACGGTAACTGAAGGGGTCAGGTCGCCTAGCAATTGAAGAGCTTTGATTCGAATTTTTAAAGGGTGCAAGTATAAATATCACGTAAAATGTCCTAACCCAGGAAGGACATTTTACATGATATTTTGCAAGGACTAAATGACACGAGGTTGTATAACGTCATTTAGTCTTTGCAGAATTTGGCATTCGTCAGATAATTTTCATAATCAAATCTATTTTGTTAACAAATTTTCAACACCTATTTCAAATATTTGAACCAAACCTTTGTTACTCATTCATCGCGATATTACCAATTAAAAGCTCAAAACAAACAAACCCTAAAAAGGATTGCTTAGGTGAGACTGGAGTATGTGCGATTAAAAGTTTGAAATAACCCCCTCCCTCCTCCCACCCTGGATGGAAAGTGTTGGCAAAATGGGCATCACTGCTCTGGGAATAATTTCATCACGGTTAAATAATTTCGCTCCCAAATATCATGTACTTGGTCTATATTAAATCAATTCTTTCAGTTTACGCATCTACTAGTTTTATCGTTAGAATGACCATTGGCGGCTGTTGATATTTCGTTAATAATGTACTATAATATTATTGAAAAGTTCATTCGGTAAGTAAAATAAGACATAGGTTG